TCTGGTGTCTATTTTAGTATTATGTTATTGATAGCTACAATAAGAACTTTGTCCTAGTGGTTTATTTCCTTATTTTGTGTCATCAGCATGCAACTATAAGTACCTCATTTTCCCCCTATGTACCAAGCTTAGCTTGGTCTAGTGGAAAAGATTGCACCTTTTCCATTAGAGGCAATTTGAGAGTAGGGATCCCTTATCCTTCTCCCCTCACTCTCAAAGCATCTGACCTGCAAATATCAGACCAAAAAAATCGTGAGAGTTGAAACACGGTCAGGGTCTTTCTGCTTACCTTAAATATAAATAAAAATAAAATTCCCCCTACGTAGATACTAGTAGATTGCTAACTGCTTCTGATGTAAAGGATCTTAAAGCTCATTTAGGTCACTAATATATTGTCCCTTCACTGTGTGTTTAAAAAAAAAAAGGGAAAAAAAGTCAACTATATATTACCTTTGTTTTTGAAAGTTTGACTCAGTTACTATTGATATATATGATCAAAATAAACTAACTTTGACTACATTTATGATTTATACAATAGAAATAAATTAGCATTTGGGATCTTATTAGATCCACCTTATTATAAATTTTATCAACTTTTTATAATGGAAAATTTGTCGGGAATATTATGACCTTTGCCAGGTGTTCCAAAAATAAAACGACGTTTTGATTATTCTGGAATAAAACGACCTTTGATATGCATCTTCCATAAATGGGGCAAAACCGGTTGGTAACCTATTAATGGGTAAAGCGTGACACGAGTCACTTTGTTATTGGTCAGTTTTTTATTTATTTATTTATTTTTTTTTACAATTTTCTTATTAAAAAAATAATTTTACGGCTATTTCATTAAATGCCACTAAGCAATTGCAAAATTCACCAAATATCATGAACCTTTTCAAAATTTACCAAATGCCACCGAGTTTTAAAAAAAATTCACCGAAAGCCATTAATGACTGACAGCCATTAGTTGACCGTTGACCCCATCATTTGCCACGTGTCATCTCCTGATTGGTCTGTTTTTTCTGGTCGGGTTTTGAGATGCAGTGGTTGGTGTTGGCAGGTGCTGGTGGGAGTTGGTGTGGTAAGTTCGCTTCGATGGTTGTGAACTAACGGAGAGGGAGAGGAGGGGGGTGGGGTTTCGAGGTGGTGGAGGAAGGGGGATGGGGTTTCGCGGGTTAGGGGGTCGCGACGGGATGGGGGAGGGGAAGGGGAGGGGTCGCCGGCGGCCGACGCACCTTCCGGTGCTAGCCCCGGCGGCTGGGGGTGGTGGTGGCTATGGTTTTGGGGTGGGTAGGGGGCTCGACGGCAGGGAGGAGGTGGTGGCTGGCCACCCTGAGTTCCTTTTTTTTTATAATTTTTTTGCTGTTTTTTTTTATAATTTTTGTTATTTTTTTAATTTTAAAAAACGAACCAATCAGAAGGTGACACGTGGCAAGTAATGGGGTCAACTAACGGCTGTCAGTCATTAATAGCAATCGATGAATTTTTTTAAAACTCCGTGGTATTTGGTGAATTTTGAAAAGGTTCATGGCATTTGGTGAATTTTGCAATTGCTCAGTGGCATTTCATGAAAAAACCGTTAATTTTAATTAAAAAAATAAAAATAACCCCACCCACAGCCCCCACCCACCCCGTGAACCGCCACCACCTTATCCCCCACCTTATCCACCTTCACTAACCTGCCTAGCCCTCGCCGACCACCACAGACCACTCTGACCCCCTTACGAACCATCCCTATCCCTGCATTAGACGCTTCCCGTAGCTCCCTAGCCCCTCCCACTTCCCCGCAACATCTTTTTGGTTTAATTGATGATATTCGGGATTCAAACAAATTTCGAAGCTGTCTAACCTTAGCTTCCCTTTGATTGGCGCATCAGCTGAATCAAAGGTATTGTTATACCGTTTTTTCATATTCGCCGCATTTCGATCGATGACCGTCGAAGCGGTAGACGAAATGCATCCTTTCTTGGAGAAGGTATTTGTTGTAGAAGAATGCGTCGTCATTACTCGCGAACCTGTTTATGGTGGTGGTTTAAGGTCAGGCTTTTGTGGCAAGTTGAGGGTGGGGGTGACGGTTGGGATTAGTCGGGGTTGTGGTGGGGGTGGAGGTGAGGGCTGACAGTGGTTGGGCGACGATGGGTTATGATGGGGGTGGTGGCCGCCGGTGAAGGGGTTTCGGGAAGAGGGTGCTAAACGAGGCAGAGGGGGGATGAAGAGTTTTTTTTTGAAAAATAAGTTTTTTTCAAATTAATATCGTTTTTTTAAAAAAGAAATATATAAAATTATAACCAATCTTAATATGACACGTGTCCTCCCTTAACCATACCTATAAGAAGGTAACTAAACTTGTCAATTGGGTCGGTCGGTCGGGTCGGGTAGCTTCGGGTCACAGGTCCTTTCGGGTCGGGTCACGGGTCGATATATGCTCAACCATAACCCAAAGTTTCGAGTTTGGGTCAACCCAACGAGTTTAGTATGGGTCGATAATTGGTGTAGGAGGTGATTGGCCTGGTGTGAATTTGAGCAAGAGTTATATGAGATAGATAAATGAAAAAGAGATGAAATGAATGTCCAATGGTAGACAAACAATCAAACTTAATCAATAAACTAATATTAATTTTCAAATAAATGTATTTATTAAAAAAAACCCATAAAATTGGGTCAACGGGTCGGGTTTGACCTACAAACTTACGGGTTAAACGGGTTCTGGTTATATCGGGTTACGGGTCAAAAAACTTTATCCAAGACTCGGAAAAACGGGTCGGGTTGAAAATTGACAGCTGTACAGGTAACTGGTCATTTAACCTATTTATGGAAGATGCATATCAAAGATCGTTTTATGCCGGAATAATCAAAAGTTCGTTTTATTTTTAGAAGATCGGATAAAGGTCATAATATTCCTGATAGTTTTTCCTTTTATAATTTCCACTCATATATAGGCGAAATATTCACGATCAAAGATGTTCATTGGAGACCGCGCAAATGTAAAGTGAGTCGAACTTTCAAGAACGGAAGGATATATTAATTTATAACAAGAACAATGGAGGATGCATATTTTTTGAAACCGAGGAAAATATGAGCATTTATATATCTTGCTCATAATTCCCGTGGTACATTTAATCATGGAGTAGTTGAATACTTGATTATCTTGAAATTGTAGAGATATAGACATTAATTTTGAGCCTTTCAAATAAATGTTGTACTTATTTAATAAGTTATTAAAATTCTTTTGTCATGAACGCAAAAGCTACACATAAACTAGTTTATGTGGGCCAATAAATAAACCGATGACATGGCATTATGTGATAGGTGTTTACGTTGGGGCCTAAAAATATTTTAACACTAGATTAGTGTTGGTAGTAATAATCTTTTTTCCCATGATTATTTTGTGATATAATATAAAATTGAGGCTACTCATGTGAATTAGAGAAATGCATGGTATATAGAAATGTGAAATAATTAGGCAAAAATTATTAAAACCACAATTGAGAAAAAAATATATTAATTTTTATTAGTTGTGTTGAAAATATTTATAAATAGTACTTCATCCACTCATAATACTTGAGATGTTGGGACGGACACATATTTTAAGAAAACTACAAGTGAGTGCATTTAAAACATTTGTTTATTATATAAAGGATTCTCTTTTGTATTGAAAGAAAACAAAAAGTGAGGGAGGTGGGGGTAGTGAGGAGAGAAAAAATGTAGAATGTAATTGGGTTTTGGGGTTTGTGGTTCCAAGGAAAGTATAGGAAAATATTTTTTATTAGTGGTCCTATTCCATATTTAGTAATGTGTCAAGTATTTTGAACGGACGAAAATGAAAACTGTGTCAAGTATAGTGGGATGGAGAGAGTATACATTATATTACATTGATGATGCATGTTATTCCCAATAAAACTATACAATGTAGATGATATATGACTTTTTATTAATGAATTAATTTAGTTTTTTTTAAAAAAAACTATACAATGTACTTCCAAAAAATAAGCTAAGTAGGATAATTAAAAAAAAAAAAACAAAAAACTTAAAGCGGACATCATATATTGTATTGGCGGAAATTTTTTTAATGATAACTTGACATATGACTAAAATGATCGAGGTAAGCATGACCTATTTTAGTAATAATTAATAGATTTTTTATAGGAATAAAAAAAGTTAAAGGTTGGTAAAATTATTAAAGAAATAAAACAGAAAACTAACTCAATTATTGTTATTTCATAAGATTTCAAATCAACACCATAAATAGAAATGTTTTTTTTTCCCATTGAACCCCAATATTTTATTTTTGTCTTCGTTATTTTATACTCTCCACCATAATTCAACCTTCTAAATTATAGCTTTCTCCCTTAATTAAAAGGTCTCAAAATCTCGTGTAACTATTTTAAATAAATAATTTAGAAAATAAAAAGGAATACAATTAGTATAAAGATAAGATATAAAATTAGGAATAATATATTATTATAGTTGTATTATACAAATATTCTAAATATAAAAGATTTTTGCTAAAAAGGTAAGGGGAGATTTGGAGGGAAAAAACAGCGCCAGAAACGACACGTGTCATTTTTGGTGCCTGTTTTAGTACACTACTAGTGGAAAAAAAATGCTTTTAGCAGCACCCTATTAGCAACTATCACTTAACACGCTAGCTACTAAAACACTAATTGCAATTGGCTAAAATAATGCCAATTACAAATACTATGTCATTAGCAACTGGCGTATTTATGAGCGTTGCTAATAATTGGTGTGTAAAAGTTAAAATTTATATTAGCAATTAACCTATTTAATGCCGTTGCAAATATTATGGTATTTGCAGCTGGCATAGAAATGCACGTTGCTACTAATAATTAACTTAAACTTAAAATTTCCATTAGCAGCCCGCCTAATTTACACCCGCTACAAATACTTAGTCAAATTAATATTGACCAAAATAATTGCAACTGGCATGATAAGGCCCGCTACTAAAATTATAAATTTATGTCTTTATTTCTACAGCTTCTCTCCCCTTCAGTATCACTCTCTCTCCTCTTTCGTTCTTCTTCATCTTCTCTTAGGGTCTGATAAGTCTGTATTTATGGCCTTGAATCCCATCATTTTTTCCAATCTCTTTCTCGATAATATGCTGCTTTCGATTCTCTATTCATTCAAGGTGTGCTGATATGTTGATTTGTTTTGGCGAACTCATTTTTCGTTGAGTTGCGCAGAGCTGAATCTTGATTCAGAATTAATTCAGATTTTGGGGGTTTTAATTCTTGTGAATCAATCGTTGATTTGTTGTGTTGATATTCTAAATTGTGAAGAGATTTTTGGCTCCTTACTGTTGTTGTTGTTGTTGTTGTTGTTCATCGTCTAGGGTTTGGCGATTTCATCGTTTTGCAGCTGCCTACGGTTCCACATTCGCTGTACAGCCTCTCCCTTGCTCTAATCCTGATGTTTGGGGTGTTCTTACCGCTATTTCGAACGATTCTCTTAAGCGGTCTTAGGTGATTGATTTGTGAAATTGATATATGATTTTTTGTACGCGAATTAGTGAAATGTTAAGGTTCTTCAATTTTTGGGGGTTTTAATTATAATAATTTTTTTGCGTCATTATGCTTCTGGGTTGTAATCTGGAATGAGGTTAATCCCAACGTGCAGCGTCAAAACCACCAGTATAAATATCATCTCCATTTTCGTTCTCTTTGCACTTATCTGTTTTAATTGACAGTAGCCTGTGAGTAGTGATTAGTCTATTCTCTCTCAGCTCCTCACATTAACAAGTCTTTATTAGTATAATTCGTGGATTCGTATTGTTGTAGTAATGTTGAAAGTTTTGGAATTTATTTTATGGGATTGAGTTATTTTATACATATTGGGGATTTCTTGTTGTAAATTGGAAAGAATATTGATGTATTTTGTGTTTATTTGTCCAGTCGTTTTGAGGGGAGCTTGTATGTGAGGTAACTGACAATCAAGCCATCTGTATTGCACGAAGTGTTAGGGAATTGATCGGGAATTGATCTCTAGCTGCTAGTGACATTAGGAGCAAGTACAGAGGTAGGTTCCTACGTTCTCTAGACCCATATAAAATGATAATGACTCCATAATGATAATCTATTTAATGCTGGTTGGTAATATACCTAAGATGAGTTGATGTCTTATGAAGTTGTTGAATCATTAGTCACTGCATAACATGTTTAATTAAGGAGATTTAAGAAAAGCACTAATAGAAAGATACATAAATTAGCACAAAGTTCATCTAAATAGATTATCAGTTAATTATTTTACTTAACAAGAATGATATATATATATATATATATATATATGCATATTCCTAATGCATCCTTTTCCATCTAACAATTTAAAAATTTACAACTAGGCTTCTACTAATTGACTGACCATCTTTTGTATCTTAGAACCATTATATCTTGCCATATGCCATAGTGTATATGCTTTATACATACTAATCTGTTTAACTCTCTTAATTCTCTAGCTTAATTAACTTAAGTTATTTGATCTAATATGATATTAGAAAGTAATCATCATCTTAGTGTTCTCTTTCCCTTTTGTAATTTTAATATTTTACTTGCATAAGGTTTCTTACATTTAAAGTCGGTTTTAATCTAGGGAGGAAGAGACTCTACACATCATGTTGGGAATGCCAAGCATGGTCTTTTTGGTAATTTTTATACTTCATTCGTCCTAAAATAATCTTTATCGTTGATAACTTATAATCTCTAGAGTCAAATTTTAATTTGATGAACATATATTTCTCTAATTATGAACTTATCAATTAAAGTGTCTTCGCTTGATTGACATATTATTGTGTTTATAATCATATTTAGGGGGTGTTTGGTATGGGTTTTTTATAGGGGTAGAAATGGAACAGGTTACTGTTTCCGTTAGAATGTGTTTGGTTAATGAGTAAAGTAACAAAAGCCGTTTCTTGGTGGTAACCCATTCCACCACTTTGTTTCCGGTGAAAAAATTGGGGAAACAAATCACGTTACTTTCCTCTAACCCAAAAAACACAACTTTACCCCTTTTCTCTCTCCTCTCATTCCATAATTCTCCAGAAAATATCAACTTTGATCGATCGAATCTTCAGATTTCGCTCAAGATGATCAATTTTCCTACCTCGAATTTCTAGAAATCAACAATCTTAACCATCATAGGTTTGTTATCTATCAAATTTTTGTTAAAGAAACCCTAGATTTTTGAATTTGTGTTGAATTTTGGGTTGGATTTGTATATTTTTCAGTTTGATTGTTTGTATTTTGACGATTTCTATTTGATCTAAGTTTTCGATCTATTTGTTGATTGCTATTTTCGATCCATGGTGTTGGTGAATTTTGGTTTGAGTTTACTATTATTTTCGATCTACACTGCTTCTTTTTAGAAATTAGGGTTTTTTAGGGCCAAATTTAGTTAATTAGTTAGGGTATTTTGTAGCGTAGTCTATGGTTGAGCAGCAAACCTAAACCACCATACTGGACACCATACCAACTACCATCATCATCATTAGAATGTTAATTTTTTGGTTTCTGATGATTACGAGCTTGAATTAGGACTTGGATTAAGTCTTGGCTCGAAGAATTCCTTCTGTTAAGTATTCTGCTCCTGTTAATAGTCACAATGCTTCTTCTGGTAATAAGCAGACTGCTGTGTTATTTGATGGTTATTTTGTGTTTTTCCTCCAATTTTTTTCCCATGATTTTGGTGGGGTGATTGTATAGTTGGGGATTGTTTTTGGATTTGAAGTGCATTAGGAAGTTGCTAATTTAGAATTTTGATTTGGATTGGTTTATTTGCTGGTTATATTGCTTGTTATTTGGGTGACTGTATAGTCGGGGATTTTATTTATTTATTATTATTATTTTTTTTATTATGAACTTCTTTTTGTTTGCTGCCTCTATAGTCTGTACCACCTTCGTTGCTCTGGTTGATTGTTGTGACTTGTGAAATCTTTGAGAAGAGGTTTGTGCTGAATGTAGTGTGGGTGATGGTGATGATATGTGGCAAGCATGCTGTAATAGAATCTCAAACCTGCTAGTGTTAGGCTCACTAGTAATGAAGCTGCTATAAGCACCTTTTGCCTAAACCGTGTGCCTTAGGTAACTTCTGCCCACCCATATACTACTCTGAAAAAAGGATTAATTTTATAAAAGATTGAACTATTTGCAAGCATTTAGACCCCTGATCTTAATCTATATTTCCTTCGTCTGATCTTCTGTCTTTATGTATGAGCAAGTCATAGGATAAACCTGCTTTCTTAGAACAGAAAATTTATCTAGACCCTTTCCACCAAACACAATCTTGGAATTTACTTGGAGATTACTATAGTTCTGTTCCAGCATGCCAAAAGTCAAGTAAAATGATTTAACATTATTCTGCTTCATTGTTTGCTTGTGTAAATTAAGTAAGCATCCATATTATAAAGTAAGTAGGCAAATAGAATATATACCCTGTAATAACTAACAATTATTGGCCTTTCAGAAACTTGATCAAACATAGTGAATTGAATCTTAATTAATATCAATCTACTTAGTTATGAAATTTACAAGTATATAGTAATAATTTAGGTGAATTCGCAACATATTCCACTTGGTCTTAAATGTATTGTTCCAGCTTGGTTTACTCATTCTTATTTGATTGAAAGGATACTTTTGGGTGAATTATGTACAAGTGCTGTGACTGTATAGTAATATAGAGATAATGCTCAAGATCTGTTACTCTTTTCTAATTGTGATTAGGTAATACAATCTGCTGCAAAATTACAAAAATCCTAAGGTATTATTGTAATAATAAACTTGTTTTAGGGAAAGTAAATTTAGGGACATTTAGATCTTGTGTTAAAATTAATTAAAGTATTTATAAATGAAAGATGGATATGTTACTGTGTGTAGCAGCTGCTAGACTTCTGACCAACCTTTTAGTGGTAGCTTAGTGCTTGCTTATAATATTAAACTTAGACTGTCTCATTAAATTGTGAATTCTCTCTTACATGGCAGACTTATAAGAAAGCTAAGGGGTTGTTTGGAGTTCCATTCATTCACTATGATACTCTTGCGGAAATATACGCAAAAGACAAAGCTACCGAAGATGCAAGTTAATTGTTCGTTGATGCTATAGAAGATATGGAATTAAGAGATTGATAAGCAACCATTGAAAGTGATGAAGAAGATTATGTGAATTCTACTCATTCTTCCGCAAGTGATTCTACCACTCAATCCGGAAAACGCTCTATAAAGGCGAAGGAGGCTAAGGTGAAAGGAAAGTATAAGAGGGCTGAAGAGCTTGTGTAGGAATGATGATGATGATTTGGTTGCCTCCCTGGATGATGTTTCCAACTGTTTTGGGAAAATATTTGTAAATGTCAATGTTAACTTTGAATGCCCTTTTTTTTTTTTTTTTTTTTTTTTTTTTTTTTTTTTTTGGTTTGGAAACAAGAATTTCAATTATTTTAATAATCAATAATTTATGTGACTTTGTCTATATCTAGTCTATAATTTAATGGTAATTAGTGTTACTCGAAATTGAATAATGTGTAGCAAAAATTAGCAAAGACAACAAAAAAAAAAAAGGAAAACTATTTCTTTCCAAGTTATCTATGCCAAACAAGAGGAAACGGATTGGTAGTAATCGTTTACGTTTCCTTAGTGATACCAAACAACTAGTAAGGGTAACACTAAATAATACTCTTTCCCCTCCTAATTTGTTTCCATTCCGTTAGCTTTATAAATGTCAAACGCTCCCTTAGTGGTTTATGTTATTTGAACATCTTTTTCTTGTAGATAATTTCTTGTAGATAATAGATAACGCCGTCATGCTAACATGCTAACTTAATTACTACCATACAATTACAACCAATCTACAAGTATCCTAACATGATTCTAAGGTTTTCCAAATCCTTAAACATGCTTCTAAAGTCAAGGTTTTCGTATCCTTGTACGTACCTTGAATAAACGAGTTGGTTGGCCACTTTAGAAACTAGAAATCGCCTTCTACAAAGTCCTCTCCTAAACCAAACAATAATAATTCAATCAATACCCAAGCAATATAATTTACAGCAATACCAAACTATTTAAAAACCTCTTAAACCATTGAAATAATGCTTTTAAATTACTCAAAATAGTCAAAGTTAATAATTCAATAGTTCAACTATAAGTTTATATGTTAAAATCATGAAAATATAGCTTATAACATGGAATTCCAGCAACTTTAAAGTAAGGATTATAATCTAAAAATTTAGTTTAAAATTATAAAACAACCTTATAGATATCTCTACTTGAAATAATCATTATATAGTAGGTTAGTATGTAAAAAAACCTAAAAATCCATCATAAAACCATGATTTAAAACCTTTAAAACCAAGATTAAAAATCTGAAAATTTAATTTAATAGTAGAATGTATGAATACAACAATTTAAACTTGGAATATATAATTAGCATTCAGTTAGTTTCATAAAAACTCAATCAAACCTTTAAAATTCAATTAAACAACACTTTAAAACCTTCATTTTTGCTAGAGTTAAAAGCTTATATATTGTTCTTTAAGTTTCCTACACAAAAACCTCAAAATACATACTCATGAAATTGCAGCAAGTTTAGAGCTTTATAAAAATCTGAAAATTTATTTTAAACATTAAACCTTCGTTAAAAATAAAAAACTGAGGCTGAATTTGGCCACAAGAGGGTGGTGTTCACTACTAAAGGTAGTGAGTTTTGATTAAAACGTCGTTTGCACACGAAAAATACTATTTTTTTTGTAAAAATCGGACGAGTTAGAATCTAAACGTGATTAAAAAAAAATTAAGAACGGAGATCAAAGTTGATTACGGAAAACTGAAAATTTGTTTTTATGCTTAATTAATCATTAGAAATTCAATAGGAACAAAAGCCTCATATTAATTGATCATTAGAACCCTAAAATCCCAATTTAACTAAATTAAAACCCTAGGTTTAAAATTACAAAATTTGAAAATTAAAACAACAATTATAATATGAAATTATTAGTTTAAAACATCAAAAACATGTTTTGATACTAAATAAACTAATTTCAAGCAATAAAAACCAAAACCCAAAAATCAATTGCATAAGCTTTATGAAAATAATAAGAAATAAAGGAGGAAGAAAATAGGACTAACCTTTTTGTGTAGGGGAAAATTTGGGGATTCATGGGGTATTTACATGAGAGAATTGTAGGGTAGAATTGAGCCTCGTGAAAATAATGGGCCAATTAAATAAACAAATGGGTTAGGCTTTGTTTTTATGATAATGAATTGTAGGATATAGGTTTATTAAATAATTTAGCCTAAAATAATTTTTGACCCAAATTAATAATTTGAAAATTAAATTTTGGAAAAATACAAATAAATAATATAAATAAAATAAAATTTCATTTATAAAATATTTAAAAAGACGGGGGATTACAGGTTGGCACTAGGCCTATACAAAACTATCCGAGTATCCAAAATCCGATAATTCGATTCGCAACCGATCTGAATTTTTTGGATACCCGATCCAAGTTTTCATTTCGGATCGGATATCCGATACGAAAAGGCGGATAACGGATGCGGATTTCGATATTGATTTTCAAAATTTTGGATATCCGAAATATAAAGCCTAAAATAGTGAATTATATATAAATTTTCTAAATTGTTCATGTAAAACTGGCCCTGGATTATTAACTTATTATAACATTATTAATATATTTGATGATAATATTTATTGCAAAAGGACTACTATTTTGTTAAAATATGTTGTACAACTTAAAGATGAAAAAACGGTAAAATTAGTGAAATTTAGAAAGTAATCATAAACAATTTTACTTAATATTGGATAATAGATATACGAAGCATCCGATCCGAAAATTTTGGATATGTGAATATCGGATATCCGAAATTTTCAAATCGAATTTGGATAGCAAATTCTAATATCCGAGTATTCGGATATCCGATCCGAAATCACATTTTGGATCGGATATCTGATCCATGAACAAGCCTAGTTGCATGATGGACGGGACCCCGCGAGTTAAACTCAACTCCATGGTTTTGTGAATTCAACAAACTCGGATGCACCCTTTATTTCACGGAGCGTTTATTAGGGTGGACGGAGCGTGAATTCCCAAGGGCTAAAACCATATGTAAAACAATGGGTTCAGAAAAGTCGAAAAAACTTAATCAGGAATTAGAATCGTCAAGGCAGTACTAAAATTGGGCAAAACAGGAAGACAGAAAGCTGGCGCAGAATCCCCAGATCCATCACTAGAAGGCAGGAAATATCGCACAGCGATAGCTCCATGGCGGCACGATAGAGTTATCGTTTGGAGATAGTTGCTGACACTCTGCGATAGTTTCAATTTTCGATGTATTTTTCGATTTTTCGTAGCGTCTTTTCGATTCTAGTTGTGAAAAATATTTCCAGCCTTTCCTACGTGTATGTCCTATGTTTTTGACGCATTACGGATGGTCTTTCCAATGCGAACTTTTTCATGCTTATGCCACAATGTTAATCAAAATTACGCACATGAATATCTAGAATCTTTCAAGTCTCATCCACTCATTCTAAGTCAATTGCTAAACAAATTAGGAATCAGTTTAGAAATCCTCCCCAGCATAGTTGCCAAAAAATGTAGGGAATTTTTCAAACTCGTCTTTATACCCTACTAAGGTTCATGCTTTTTAGGCATGCCGACGTTCCAAGGAAAAGAAGCTAGAGATAAAAGAGTCGCCAACAAGTTTTAGGAACATGTAAACCGTTCACGGGTGTGAAGGTTACACCCCATTCACGATCACGGAGATTGCTAAATCCATGGTGGTCCGTAACCATGACTGGATGTTTGGGATGATGGTACGAATCCAAATTATAAGAGATTGAACCCACCCTAAATAGGCCTTTACTCAATTCTTATGATATTCATGTGCGCTTTTTGATCAACATACATACATCAAATTGATCCTAAACCCATCTAATCTACGTTGGTTAATTATTAAGGCACAATCAAATCTAATATTGGTGATCACTTGAATTAAAATCATGTTAGCCTAAATCAAATTATTAATTATCTTACTACGCGTGATTTCAAGTACAAATTCCCTTTAAACCCGCAAAAAGAGGCGTGATCAAGAAATAACAATAAATCATGAATAATCAAGCAACATATGATTAATACAACAATTCATCAAAGCATCGTTAGTAAGATACTAGGTGTAGACATCTAAAAATGTCTTCTCAAAACCAAACCTGATGATGAACAACCTTTCACTGCCATTATTGGCCGGGTCGAGTATTTCATCTCGAGAGTGCTTAAAATCCATATTTAATCCAACACAGCATAAAAATCAATCCACATTTTCAATCCAAGTATTTAGTCTTAGCATAGTCCAACCCTCATTTCAGCCCAAACCTTTTTAAACCATTTCATTTGAATAATTAAGTCTGATTAATAAATATTGAAAACCCTAAACCTAAATAAGTTCGGAACTCTGAAACGGTGCCTAAATTATCACGTGTTCCAAAAATACTTGTAACAATGTAAGCCAGTACAATCTCAATGAAGTGTTAGCTCTTGATGCTCCATTGCCCAATAAAAGGAGAACTTACACTCCTTTGGGAATGACGTATGACGTTGCCTTTGATCACCTATACAGAAAAGGCTTGATTACACCTATTGGGCCATTTCCAGAGCCAAAACCTGAAGAAAGGAGTGCCAAGTGATATCCTAATGCCCAATGCAAGTTCCACCAAGGAAGGGGTCACTCTACTGAACAGTGCTCGAATTTGAAAGATGTCATTCAAGATTTGGTTGATGCAAACAAACTTCTTGTTCCTCCAGGCGGCAAAAAGTAACAAGCAACAATGAAGACGAGAAGCAAGATGAGCCCTTAGTACAAGATTTCACGACGTTTTTTCTATTTTTATCATTCATTTCTCTTTCCCCCATTCAAGTCTAGTATAGATTTCCCATTCTAAATTTGTATGTTTCGTTCACCTTTCCATCAATAAAATGAGCATCTTTTACTTTTACATCTTGAACATGCCGCTCTTTAGTAAAAAAAAGAAATAAAAAAAAAATCAATTGCCGAACCAAGCACAAAGTATACCAGTGATTCGAGGCACCCTTTGCAACCCTTTATCTCCCATTAAACCATTCAAAACACATAGTCCATTCTTTCATTAACCATCTTGAGCCTCGTCTAACGATCGACTTTCATTTATTCAACCAACATTCATCTAACCTTGGGATGGGAAGGTATGTAATTTTCAAAATCAAGTTCAAAAAAGAAGAAGAAAAAGAAAAAAAAAAGAGAAAAATAAAACAATGTCTAAGGGCAAGTGTTCCAATGTCTTTAAGATGAACACGTCTCGAATAACATCTCTTATCGAGTACTTGGTACCGTGCTTGAGAAACATGAATGCTAAGTGAGTGATGGACCGCATGATCCAGGATTTCCCACATTGATTAATAAAAGACAAAAGCAAAAATAAAGCTAAAAAAAATGTGAAA